TTAAATACGTAAGTAGATCTCTTTTGGCCGGCTATATGGTAATTTCTCTAGTCGGACAAAAGATGGCTTATATGAAAATTCTAACCTAATCAAATCAGATAGTCCAAAAAAAAACATTATGATGTTATTTTATACTAAAATAGAAAGATTTATCGTCTTTACGATTACTCAAGTACTCAATTTGGTAAGTACTTTCTTTTAATTGGTCACTAATGATAGTTTTTAATTGAAATACCTGTATAGCACTGTGAAATATAAGATGTCCTAGTGTTAAACTTATTTCTTTTCAGCGTCCATAACAGAAGGATGTTACAAGTACCTGGGGGAAATAGAGGCCTTGCGTCTTGTTTGCTAATGCATACTTCCTGGGAACTCTTCTTCGGGCAGTTTTACATAATATTGCGTGGGTAAGTTAAATTTAATATTACCTTTGACATGTGTACACTAGTTAATCATTTATTCATAAACATTGAAGATTTAATATTTCTGTCTCTTTATTTTTAGGAAAAAGGAGTTTGGAGAGGAAATTAGAAGGAAAAAATTTTTGTGTCCTCCCTCTTTCGTTATTTTTCTAGCACTCTTTTTTGTTTCATCAACAAAATTCTGATTTGGATTTTTGAATCAAGTTGGATGAAAAAATAATTAGCCAATCAAAATTTTGACAGTTTAGTTACATCTTTAAAATTAGATTATTGGATTTTTAAAGGTGAGTTTATTTAGACTGCTTATTTCATAATTTTGATGATAATTTATCGTTCATTAATTAATAGGTTATTTTGAAATCCGTGTTGTAATTTTTTTACAAATTTACATTTTAAAAATTATAATTTTCGTGTGGTAACATTGTCTCACTACATTTAGTTACTTTTGATCTTGTCAAATTTATCACTATACAGGGTGTAGTCTAAATACTTAGATGAAACTTTTTTTAAATTTATTTCTTTGAAGACTTTTTATCATTAACTTGATATTCTTGGGATTCCGTGTTTCATTATAATATTTAAAAACTAATGTAACAAATATTTTATAAACTATAGAGTATATCTATACCTTTTTGCCAGACTATCATAAGTGCCATTTGAACAATATGTTATGACTGTTTATTTTAATAGAAACCATGGAAACGAAACAAACACATACACTCAACACAAATGTATAAGGCCCGAGTCGAGTAAGTTCCCATCCTGTAAACTGTATCGAAACTGCTAGATCCATTCCGTACATCCCCTGCTAACTCCTCTTAGAGTCATCAAGATCAATAGATTTATATGCCATGCCTTCTAAAAAGGAATGATAATTTAAACAGGACGTTGCTGAAGGCTTACCCCTGTTATTTAATTTGTTTATCTTGTGCGTGTGCATTCCTGTTGTGTCCCCAGTCATGTAAAAGTTTTTCTAGTCTCCGAATTTGGTTACTAGCTGGACCTTTTCCAACTAGTAGTCTAATCTATTCGATCTGTTCTGCAGCAGGACGTACTTTTCAAACATAGTAAATAATATTATTAATAATAAACTCTATTTAAAGATGAATAAATTTTTGTAATTTTTTTGTCATTGCCACTTACCTGTCTCTTACACCATCAGGGTGTACCTATTTTCCATATTCCCTTAATTACCTAACAATGTTTGAATTAATATAACATTTTACCCATGAAAAATCTAATTTCGTATTTAACTCTTTTTCAATTTCATTTGAAACAATTGGTACCTATATTACAATTTATTATCAAGGAAATCTTATAATAAAGTTATAGCAAATCCTACTTAAACTACTGGTTGTTCTGCAGGATAAATGAACTTTTCTTGAGATTGATCTCTCTCTAAAATCCAAAACCGACCTGATGTCCCCAAATTTGTTTTCCAATGCATCCTGATTTAAAATTCTGCCCTTTTCTGATTCAATTTTTTTTTCTTCCTTTAGAGTAGCTATTAGAGGTAGGTGTATGTAAGAAATAGCCAATCTCTAATCATTTCAAAAGTCCTTTGCCAATACTACATGTGCAGATTTTTTACTCAGCATACATTTTACTTTTCTAGTAGGTAGGAACTTTGTGCTGCCATTAAAGCTGTCCAGACATTCATCTACCTACTTAATGAACAAAAGTAGCTGTAACAATAGATCTCTTCCAATTCACCTAAAATAATTATAGTCATTTTGTAATATATTATTAAACACACACATTATACAGTGGTTTTCTTAATAAATTGGAAATTACTTACCTCTAGAACGAATGAACGAAATGTGTAAAAAAATGCGAGTTTGGTTCCAGAAATTGCTTCATGCACAAAATAATATGCAAAAATCCCAAAGAAAATTAATTAAACAACAAAATCAGACTCGAAGAAATAAACGGGGCCAAAATTAAATTAATTTTAATAAAATGCACACGTTCATAACAACATTCATAACATTGTCAGTTGTCAGTTTTAATCGATACGTCGACGTCAAAAAACCAGCAACATCAGCGACCTCTTAGATTGGTGTAAGTTTTATTGGAGGGAGATAAATATATGTAAAGATCAATGTAAAAAAGAAAGAAAGTCATGTATGTAATTTAAATGGACCACCGAACAATTTTTCCTATTAAGTTACACGTCTCTGTTGTCTCTGTATTTATGTACAAAATGGCCACAATACAACGTGCACGGAAATGTTCGGAGAAAAATTGCTCAGTTTTTGTGTTTTTTAGTTAGTTCACTTTTAAAAAGAGTTTTAAATAGTTTAGGAATGTATTATGGATCGTTTCTTGAAATGTTCACGGTGAAATGTTGGAAAATTTCCTATTCTGAGACCAAATAATTCTGAAATCACTTATGATTTCGAAAGTCGTGAGCGATGAGAGAGTTTCATGAAATGGTAAGTAATAATTTGTTTATAATTCTTACTCAACTTGTAGTATTGTTCCCTTCAAACAGTAACCATATTTATTAGGAACAATTCTGTGCAGATCTGTGATGACTTTCGTAGTTATTTTCTTTTACTAATCTTTTTTTTTTTAAAGTATTTTTTTTTCTTTTTTACTTTCCACCTTCACGAATCGGGCTTATTGATTTCTCACTTCAGCTTTTTTGTTGTCCTGGAGATTTTTTATTCTTGAATCTTCCCATAGACATTCCGATTTTGTTTTCTATTATTTTATTGTGACCATTTCTATCCTAACCACACTTTTTCTTGTTGATATATCACTGTCACTTTATTTTAATCTTAAAATTAATTTGTACAATTATTACTAACTACAATTTATATTTGTTTCAATAATTATAAATTAATTTTCTATTTTACAAATCTGAAATTTATACTAGGTGTGAAATTTGTTTGTTTTCAATGACTAATGTTTATTTTTTTATTTTATTTTTAGGTACCAAGAAATTTTGTGTTAATATGGATATGATTACTTTAGAAGACATACTTTTTAATATCATTGGACATTGGTGTCTTATTTATGATAAATATTCCATAGGAAACAAAGACTTATTACAACTACAGTAACATCCAATGTGAACCAGTTCATTCCCTTTGATTTGGGCTTAAGTTAGATGCCTTTCTGTGGATTACTAGGTGCGTTTCTCTTTAATAACTTATTTAACTTAAATATGATGATTTACAGATTGAAACTTATGCATATTTCTGTACTTTAATTCCCAATTATTATCACTATTAAGTTGTTCTGTGCACCTTTAATGGTTATTTGCTTATGCCACTTCTTGTGTTTGATACATAACACAATAATATACGTATATAAAAATCGTGCAAGCCGTTTTCGAGATAATTAAGGCGTTCCATACTTAAAACTAACTCTTTATATGGAATATGCTACGTAATAACACTATTTTTTGGACTTTTGTTACGTTAATATTCAATATTTTTGTCAGACATTTACCACATATGTTTTAAAATTGCAATGTTATTCATAATTATTTTTATTGGACATACATTTATCAACTTCGTCATCGCCACAGCGACATATTGGAAACATCGAACCTCCCCAAAGCCACGTGAGTTTTGTCCGACAAATGTAATATCGTTCATGTAATATGAAAAACCCGCTTAACGTTAGAACTACACGTGCATGTATCAACTTCCTTAGGGACCGACTTGTTGCTATGAAGCCCCTGAGGAAGTTTGACGTGTACAGAATTTACAAAATCCAAAGGTAAATGTACTGAGGGCTATAACACTTCTTTCAAAATTTTCTGTAACAGTTGAAGTAGCAATAAGAATGTCATCGAAATATATCAATACTTTATTTTATTTTATTAAAAATTTTATTAACAAAGCGCTTGAAATTTGAGAGACTAGAGCTTAAACCGAACAGCATCTTTAAAAAAAGTATTGACCTAAAAGGGTTACAAATGATATAATATTTTCTCGATTTTGGATCTAAATCAACATGGTAAAACGCGTTTTTCAAATCTAGTCAGATAAAATCTTTTTTATTTTTTAAATGGTCGTCGGCTATTGGTAAGGGGAACTAATCCCTAATTAAATATTTTTTTTATCGTTCTGTAATCTATACAAAGTCGGTACTCACCTGATTTTTTTTTTTGTTTAAAACGCTAGGTAAACAATTTGGGGAATTACTTTCTTGGATCGTACCTCTCTGTAAAAGATCATTATTTAAACTATCTAAAGCTTTCTTTACTAAGTATGACGATCTTCTAGGACCAAAAGAAAATGGTTCAGTTTTCGGTAAACTTAATTGAATTTTAAAATTAAATTTGGATTGATCAAGTCTCTTCGGTTGAAGGTAATATTTATTAAAAATGTCCTTTGTGCTAAGAATCTCTACGGATGTTACAGATGGGTCTAACTATAAATCTAGATTATCAAATAAATTCTCGATGATGACGCCCTTAAATGGCGGAACACTGTATTGGTAAAAAGTAATTTATTTTGCCAAATTATTTCCAAATATGAAAAGAAATCGTAAAATATTCATTATGAGATTAATTTTCTATTTACATTTTTTTTTTATTACTTTTGATCTATTATTACTTACACCATCAATGAGATCTCCAATAATTCCATTCCATTTTCCAGTTTTGGCGTCCTGTTCACCATTCTTCATATCTTCTCTTACGAGGAAAGTATAATTGAAGCCCCTAATTGCTGCCAGTTCTTTAATTATGTCCACTGCGAATCCTTCGTATTGGTCATTACCATATAATGGTAACAAGGAGTCCACTCTCATACCATAGGGTTCGGTCTTAAAAAATATTTTGAATGAAATGTATACACATACAATTCTATAATGCATCATTTGTCTGGATTTAACATCGACATTATTTCCAATATAGTTTGAATATACATTTATAAAAATTAATTGTATACCTTACAATGAATTGAACAAGATATTACCGACTGACTGACAATGAGCAACGACTTACACATCTGCACATTACATTGATTAAGGGGCAATAAGCGAAAACGGTATATGTCTGTTACGTTCATGTTCATATTATATCTTGTTTAATTCGTTATAAGGTATATCGCTAGATTTAATTTAAATTGAGATATGTTTGGTTTTCTTCAAAATGAGTACGATTATCACATTGCCTTGCATTACAAATCAGACGGATTTATTATGGGTCATATCAAAATTATAGTTCACCATACAAACCGCAACTAGTAATGATGGCTATGGCTGAGGTGGATAATACTTTTTTAAAGTCCGTAGAGTCCAGTTAAATAAAGTTAAATATTTAAAACCCAATTTTTTTTAAAGCGGAACAAGTAAGTACATACAATATGCTCTGCAGATTTGCCTTCTTAGGTGGTTACCTAGACGACAATGTTCTACCCTTAGCGCCATAAGAGTGCGTAGATTTTTACTACTCCATTCCTTCTGAGCGAAGGCGTTCATGAAATGATTGGGTATAAACGCCATCAAATGAGTTGCCGCAGGGTATCTCTCCAGTTCATGAGTATTAAACCCTCTGTCCATTTTGAAATAATTTATAGTGGTCTTTGTAATGCAGAGGAATGGTTTGGTCCTATTAACTCAGATTCGACTCATTTCCTATCGGCCTTTTCATTGTTGTATCCAAAAACTGATATAATCAAGGGTATATAAAGTTGTAAACCAGATATAAGTCAACTTGGTTGGAGCTTAGGGCCTTAAGAGCTGCAACTTGAAAATATGTTAGCAGGAAGAAAATTAATCAGCTCTCTCGCTCCCTTTTCTATAGCAATCAGTTCTACTTAAATGTTTGTGGCCAGAGTGCCCAAACCCAGCTTTAGTAATGAGTCAACTGTTAGCCGCTGGCCGAAAACAGCGCCTAATCCACCCTATATGCTATGAGGAACTAGTGAGTCTGAAACCATGCTAAGGATGTGGCGGTTATTAATGTCTCCCATTAGCCCTGTCGCGATTCTATATTGTAATGACTACTTACAATTAGGTGTCTATAGGAGGAGACCATCCTGGCATCCCTTTTCAGCAAAATGCGAAGAGGGATACTCTGATGAAAAGGGCATTCTTCACATAACTTGGGTCTCATTAGATTCATTGGGCATATATTACCTGAATCTCAACGGAATGACAGATTGATAGACAGACGGATGGACATACCAAACACATCTTGGTTAATTTTTGGACACGGAGTCCTAAAAGTAGCCATTTAGTGGGCTTCTATAATGCCGATGGTAAATCCTCAATGTGAAGCCATTTTGTTCGCCAACTCAACACTAGACTCAAAGAAAAGTTAGATCCAACATGGCTACTGTCGTGTGCTTGACATAGAACTAGTGATGGCGACATATGCAAGCCGTTGGATTCCCTTTAGTTTTGCTCTGGCATTCAGTTGATGTCCCTTGTCACAGCAAACGACCGATCCGTACGTAACCATGTGTTTTCATGGTTTGGCAAATCAGTAGATTAATTTGGGGACTGATTTCTTAGCTTTGCCGACATATTATTCTTCTGAAAGTCCAGAGGTATAATCGATCTGTTAAATGGAACCACCAATTTTTAAATGTTTTATTTGGTGCTCTGCATTCTGGGAATCGTTCATTATAATATTTTGTTTCTAACGGAGTTATTATTACAATATCCGAAAACCCGTACAATATCCACTAATAATTGTTCACAACTCTGTACCTGTAACGTGAGGAGGGTGGTTTACCCCACGGCACTTAGGCTTCACTAGGCCTTCTGTACATCATCCTAACATGATAGGCACCTCCCAACTCGTGAGCAAGCCTACAAATTTTTAATTCAGTAACTGAAGGGTCAAACCTGTAGAAAATTCGCTGATGAGTTCCCACATAGCGCAATTTGTCGGTCATCGCAGGTGTTTTTAAACGAGAAAATCCTTAGCGCGTTCTTGGTACGGAAAGGGCCTGAAAATGGACCCCTAAAACCTGGAAAATGGGTTTCCCGCTAATATCTGACTGAATTTGCCAATTAGAGAATTTTTGTTCAGACAAAAAATGAAGATCAGCTCATTATCTACAAAAATGGTCCCCATTATTTTCTTCGAAAATTCAATAGTTTTCGAGATAATGGCACTCAAAAGTCCCCTCATTTCTGCTGCTGCTCTACCTGAAGGAATTCCGCTTTCTATGAATTAACGTGTAAGCGGGCGGACGAATTGTTCCATATCTCGGGTAAAAATTGATATTTTTCGATAATTTAAAGTTCGTCGCAATGGGAAAACCCGTAGCTATAATTCCATGTGACTTGAAGTCAGTTCGTGTTTGCCAAAAATATTTAAAAAAGCGGTCAAAGTTTTTTTCAACAATATTTAGAGACTGCTTCATTAATTTATTCATATTTTCTTTAAAAATAGTCATTTATTTTAATTTTGCCTGTATAATGGGACCTTGGGGAGTCTTGAATGATCTTATAAATTTTTTTGTAATACTTTTCTTGCGTTTTAATACAAAATTGATTTGTTTATTTACATGTTTTAGACGATTTCGGAGTTCCATAGAATCTTCGGAACAAGCGCGAATTATCTTATAATCCGTTATATTGATTTCCAATGCACATTATTTTAAAGCTTGGATGGTCTACTTTTCGAATATTTTTTTTTATTTTTAATAGAATCTAATAATTTTCAAGAAATGAGGAAAATTGATTACACGAGTGAAAACCGGCCTTTTTTGTTTAACCATTTCTTGTTCCCCGCTCTTTATTTTTTGAGGATTAATAACTAGATCAAAGTAAAGCTTGTATTTTGACCTTTTCATTGATATAAGTCAATCCCCATATCCGTTCTTGGTTCTAAAAAGGTTGTTACAATTATATACTTCATTTTTACGCTCCCCCTCTGAGATCCATGATATTATCTAACCTCGTGTACTCACGCGGCGATAGTTGTCTGCATGTGTTTGTATATAATCTCTGTTTTGGAGTCGTCGGCTTGACCGGATTATTGATGTACTGATGATATTTTTTCATTATTTATTTTGAGTTATTCATTTAAAATAAAATAAATATTTTTCATTAAATTAATTCAGTTATATATAAAAAAAATGGTTTAAAGTGAGAAATTTCCCCGTTATTCTTGTCTACAAGAAAGAATATTCAAAGATTTTTTTGTTGAAAGTAGAAAATAACGTTTGTTCTATTTTGTCTCAACTTTAAAAACTTGTAATTGTTCTAACGGTTGGATCATCTACTTTTTGGTAGCTCTTGGTGTTGTTGAAATGAAAGCGGATTCCGTCTCAGAATGCTTTCTTTGTGAGGAGGGGGTTGTGGATGACAGTGTAAATGTTACTTGTGGTTTAGAAAATTTGATTCGAGTGAGCAAGGAGAGATGCAATAATTTCCACTTATTTCTCCAGAAACAATCCTCTGTACGAATGCACAACAAGTGTAGGGACCGCTATATTATTAAATCTCGAGGCAAGTTCGCGTACAACGAGTTTGATAAGCTCTTTTCAAGTCGGTTGGACCATTTAACGAGCCCGAAGAGACAAAAGAAGCGCTCCCATAGTGACTTTGACTTCAAAAACAATTGTTTGTTCTGTCAGTTACCTGCTTCGATAGAGAAGGAGAAAATAAAGAGCAGTTTGGTAAAGAAGCGTACTATCGTACTTGTTTCAAACATAGAATTCAAGACCACACTTCTGAATCAGATCACAGCTCATATTGATATAGAAAAGTATAAAGCGACGCTAGAAATAATTTCTGGGATCGACCTCACAGTTGTTGGTGCAAGATATCATGAAGTCTGTCGACTTCCATTCTATCAATTGTCTGAAAAAGCTTCTGGTAAGGCTAAACCGAAGGGACGGCCCAGGAGCCTGGATGCGCATCCCTTTATGAGAGACAACATTCTGTTTTTGCATGCAATGACTGGGAGCGATACAACCTCTGCTTTTTTCAGAAAAGGGAAAAAGTCAGTAGTGTCAAGTTTGTCTAAAATGGGGGAAAACACTCAACCCCATGAACTTAAAATGGCCATTGAATTTTTAAAAAATCGGAACCTTGCTCGAGAGACTATATTCGCGAACGGAGAAACTGTTTTGCTGTCGATTTACTAATTACCAGCGGAAATAAAGACTCTCCAGGCCGCCCGGTCCTGGACTTTTAACCACTTGTCCACAAACAAAACTGCAATAAAACTAGAATGCTTGCCCCCTACCATTGAAGCTGCTAGGCAGCACTTTTATAGGGTATATTTACAAGTACAGAATTGGCTGGGGAATGAACTGTCACCAGAAAAATGGGACTGGAAACGTGCAGGGGAAATGCTATTACCGGTCCAGACCACACAGGATCCGGCCCCACCGGAACTCTTGAAGATGATTTTTTGTCAGTGTAAGAGAGGCTGCGAGAAGAATTATTCATGTTTGAAAGCAGGTCTGACATGCTCGTCCATCTGTGGTTCGTGTCAGTTGACACAATGTTCAAATTATAAAAGAGATGAAGGTATATTCCCGGAAGAATTAGAGGTGGAAGTAGAAATAGAGGTGGAAGAAGGGACAGAAGGGTTGCAAAGCGAGGAGGCAGAAATACAGCTGAAGGAAGAGGGAGAAAAGACGACAGGGGGAAGGGTAGAAATGGAGCAAGAGGGAGTACGCGACGAGAATACCGTTGACGATGAAGAATATGTATATGATTCTGATGACTTGGAGTGGTTGACCTAAAGGTTGTTATGTATGTTTTATATTCAACCAATTCTTCCAAATAAATTTAACTTTTCAAAGACTTGCGTATTTATTCCGAAATCCTGCACTTATATTATTCCGAAAAAAGTTTGCAAAAAAATCGCAAAAATGCGAAAAATGTTTTGAATGGTTGTATGGTGAATATTCACCACGCTCTAAAAGTTGTCATTTGCTATTAGACAAAACAACGGGATTCAAGACCTTGGCACAAGGAAAAATAAATTTTTGCAATTTTCTGGTAAATTTGCAACTCAAATTGCACAGAACATTCGCTAATACAATTAAGAGAGCCCAAGCGCTACTTTGCAGAAAAAAATCAAGTAAAATCCGCCAGTAATTGTCGAATAATCCATTATTTCCGAGATTTTCATTTACGGACTCCGTAATTTAGCGAGAAGAGCAAAGGTGCTGGCGCCATCTGCAATTGGTCTCTAAAGTCCAAAATATGAAGATCGGTGCATTTCCAACCCCATCGAGCGGAATTCGGCAAGAAACTACTATATCTATTCAATATGAAAATTATGGATTTTTTGAAGTCTGATTTTGCAAAAAATATTGGCATTGCGAAAAAATTGGTAAGGATCATTTTTGTAAAGAATGAGCTGATCTTAATTTTTTGGCTGAACAAAAATTCTCTAATTGGCATATTTAGCCATATATTAGCGGGAAACCCGTTTTTCAGAGTTTAGGGGTCCATTTTCAGCCCCTTCCGGTACCAAGAACGCGTTAAGGATTTTCTCATTTAAAAACACCTGCGATGACCTACAAATTAAGCTACATGGGAACTCATCAGCGATTTTTTTACAGCTTTCGATCTTTTCATTCCTTCATTTACTGGACTATTTGTAGACATTTATAATAACAAACTCTCCTACTTTCCCCTGAGACAATCCACCCCTGCTTCACTGCATAAGCCAAAATGTAAATATAAAATGGCAAAGAAAGTAAATTTGTATACTAGTTTCGCCATCTAACGACGAGTATCCAAACAAGAAGTGGCTTATAATATATTTCTGTGTTAATATGTTCTTTGTTTTGATAACTCGTTTGTAGATGGTGCCACGACTAAAAATAAATAGAATCATTTTATACACATTTTGGATTATTTATTAAAAACCTTTTCTTAAAAAATAAAATAAATTTCATACCTTTCGGTTATTTTTTGAAGAAGGATTTTGGAATTTAAATTTTGTTGAAAATATGCATACACCTAAAGAAAACCTCGTAGATTTCAACTTTTAAATCAGTTCACTGATATCTCAAGCTGTTTTCGAGTTATTGGTGAAAATGTAAAGTTAGGTAGAGTGGAGTAAAGTGTGGGAAGAGTGGGATGGAGTGGAGTAGAGTTGGGTTGAGAAAGTAGAGTAAGGTAGAGTAGAGTCGGGTATAGAGGGATAAAGTGGGGTAGAGTGGGGTAAATTGGGAGGGTAGTGAGAAGTAAATTGGGAGGGAAGAATGGAGTATAGTAAGGGTTAAGTAGAGTAGGTAGAGTGATATAAAGTGGAGAAAAGTGGGGTATAGTAGAGTAAAGTAGAGTAAAGTAGGCTAGAGTGGGGTACAGCGGGGAAAAGTGTAGGGTAAAGTGGGGATATAGTGGGGATATAGTGGGGATATAGTGGGGGTAGAATGGGGTATAGTGAGGTAAAGTGAGATAGACTAGGGTAGAGTGAGGTAACGTGAAGGAAAGTAGGGTAGAGTGAAGGTAGAGTGGGGTAGACTGGGATAGAATGGAGTAGAGAAAGAGATAGAGAGAAAAGGCAAAATAGCCCTGCAATATCCGATTTGAGCAATCCATGTAACTATTTATATGATTGTCAATTACATCACTGGAGTATGTTTTAGAGTCTAAAGATCAACGAAAAAAACATTTGCCAAATGACCTACGAGCTTGCGAAGAGAAATAGTATTAGCCATAGGTTTCCTAAAGATAAAAAGTCAGCTAGAACAGCTTGGTTTGGAATTTTTCTAAAGAGACACCCAGAAATTTCTTTTGAAACTCCTGAGGCAGTAGCAAAATAATTTTATCTTTTAGGTGAAATTACAAGAAAAATAACATCACTCCAATGAGAATGTACAGAATGGATGAGTCAGGTATTCAGCAGGCTGCCCAAAATTTTAGAACATAAAGGACGAAAGCAGGTCAGTTTCCTAACAAGTGCTGCAAAATGTTAGCGTTGTTTTATGTGTAAACGCTGCTGGTCAATTTATTCCTCCGGCAATAATATTCCTCCGCAAAAAAAGGAATGAATTATTATTTTAAGCTGTTCCATAAGGAATACTTTGTCTTTACAATGAATGTGGGTACATAAAATCTGACACCTTTATTCTGTTCTTGAAGCATTTTTAACAGCATACCCAGTATTCAGTTGAAAATAAAGTCCTTTTGTTGCTTGACGGACATTCAAGCCACAAGTCTGTCCAAGCTATAGAATATTGTTCGCACACACGAGATGCAGCCTTTGGATGTGGTAGTATTTCCACCTCTAATGGCATATTTTAATGAAGAAGTTATTTTATGGCTTAAAACGAGCCCTGGAAAAGTGGTAACGCTGTAACATTGCTAGCTTGTTTGGGAAAGCGTATAGAAAAGCTGCCACACTTAACAACGAACTCAGTGGATTTGAGAAAATAGGAATATGTTCCTTTAATCCGAATATATTCCCATATTGGAAATTTAAACCATCCTGCATAAGAGATCGACCTCTAGTGGAAAATTAAACTGGTGAACCGTAAACAAAGAACTCCTTCTCCACAAAAAGGTACTTATTCAAGTCCAAGTACGTCGGAAATAACTTTACCTATAAGAGAAAGAAAAATTCGTGATATATCTTCATCAGATGAGGCAGAGGAATGGAAGACAAGTGGACAATCTTCAGATGAAGTCAGTCTTTTCGATAACAATGTAGGGGACTTTTTAGAAAAATGAAGCGTCAAACCAGGAAGTTGTTGCTTCAAATCATAAAGTTGATAGTATAAGCCTTGCAGTCGGTACTTCAAACCCAAATTCCAAAGTTAACTTTTCCAAACCGAAAGTTGGCGATACAAGGCATGAAATTCCATCTTCGTTGTAGGATACCTCAGTAACCCTATTTGATATATATCTACTACCTCAGGCACCTCCTCAGACGAGGAGTTGAAGACCTTCTCAAGGAGCAACTGTTTTTCCTTTCACATCAAACTATCTTTTTGTAGAAGAAAAAATAAAAACACCCAGGTCAACTTCAAAAGCAGCTAGAAAAGCCATAAGCCAAAAGGTGTTTGGAAAAAAGAAAGAAAATAAAGGGGCAAGTTTTGATGAAGACGACGCCGTCTGTATATTCTACTTGGAATTATTCAGTAAATCGCAGGCGCAAAAAATGGTCTCATTCATTATGCGCGGGTGTTACAGGAAAGCAAAAAGTGTATATTTGCGATTTTTGCAAATAAAATTGATCTTTTTTACTTTTGCTTGACCAAATAAATATAGGGGTCATTTTACCTAATGAGGAGGGTCATTTTACCCTGAGGATGATGTAGAGCATTTTAGGAGTTAAATTATTTTTCTCTTGTTTTTGTCATTAGGAATTATGTTTTCAGATAACTATGTTCCGGTATGTTCGTTTTATTGTTTGATTAAACTGTACTTAAATATTCCATTGTTTTGGTACATTTAGCCTAAAAAATTGTTAAAGGGACCATTTTGCCCTACTCTCCCCTAAGTTATTTTAAATTGTTATCGGAAGAACCGGACAATTGCATATAAGGAATAGAAATAATTATTGAACACGTATTATAATAACCCAAATCATAATTCTACAAAATTTCAACAGCTATTTACAATTTAATAAACTATTGACCCGAAATTGTTATTATTATCTATAAAATAAGTCTGTACGCCAATATATTGCGTCCACTTCGAGTAGCTCCACCACGAAACTGTCAATTATTCTGTATATAAGTAAAAGAACTGCGAAAGTCCTTTCCAACTTGTGTCCCTACTATAAATATGAGTTCACAACGCAGTAAGGTTTGGTTTTACTTCGATAAAAAAGAAAATCCTGTTCACTGTAAATTATGTATTTACAATGTCATAAACAGGAGTGATACCAGTAAATTGTGGAATAATTTAAAAAACGAAGATCACACCAAAATAAACAGGTATGAATTATACGTTAATCGAATTAATATTAGAATAATCGAATGTTTGAATATTCAAATATTCGAGCATTCGAATATCTAAATATTCGAATACTTCGAAGTATTCGAATCGTGAATAATTTGGGTACTAAAATAAAGTTTTAAACGAATATTCGAATACAAAAATGTGAAAATTTCGAGCCCTAGTTTGTGATTCTAGTGAACAAGTTTAAGTTTTTATACTCTGTTTTATGATTTAAAAAAATTTGTATTCAGCTCTGTATTTACTGACAACTCCTAAAGGATTGAACTTACCAATGTTATCATAACTTTAAATGTTTTATTTCTTATATCGTCGCTATCAAATTCTGGAGGGATATTAATACGCGAAATATTAAGAGGTGGAATTTTCGAAGAATTCCAATGTCCAACAACAGTTTGTCCTCCTTCCATTAATTCAAAAATATCCAATCCAAAGTTAGTTCTGAAACCCTTTATGTCGAATTTAATTACTCCTGTTAGACCTGGATATTCCAACTAAAAAAAAGAAGTAGGTAGAAGGTAAACAATTTTACAATATTTATAATTTTAATTGTTTATAATCCAGCAGTTTTTTTTTAAATTGCTTGCTATTGACAGCATGATTTCGTCTTTTTTACTTTCCTATCTGTATACAGATACAAGGAAAGTATAGGAATCATGATTTTTTTCGACCTCGAGTTTTCGACGGATTTTTACGTTTTGAGGTCCCCTGAATCCGTTTTGACTATTTTCGCGATGATGTCTGTGTGTGTGTGTGTGTGTGTGTGTGTGTGTGTGTGTGTGTGTGTGTGTGTGTGTGTGTGTGTGTGTGTGTGTGTGTGTGTGTGTGTGTGTGTGTGTGTGTGTGTGTGTGTGTGTGTGTGTGTGTGTGTGTGTGTGTGTGTGTGTGTGTGTGTGTGTGTGTGTGTGTGTGTGTGTGTGTGTGTGTGTGTGTGTGTGTGTGTGTGTGTGTGTGTGTGTGTGTGTGTGTGTGTGTGTGTGTGTGTGTGTGTGTGTGTGTGTGTGTGTGTGTGTGTGTGTGTGTGTGTGTGTGTGTGTGTGTGTGTGTGTGTGTGTGTGTGTGTGTGTGTGTGTGTGTGTGTGTGTGTGTGTGTGTGTGTGTGTGTGTGTGTGTGTGTGTGTGTGTGTGTGTGTGTGTGTGTGTGTGTGTGTGTGTGTGTGTGTGTGTGTGTGTGTGTGTGTGTGTGTGTGTGTGTGTGTGTGTGTGTGTGTGTGTGTGTGTGTGTGTGTGTGTGTGTGTGTGTGTGTGTGTGTGTGTGTGTGTGTGTGTGTGTGTGTGTGTGTGTGTGTGTGTGTGTGTGTGTGTGTGTGTGTGTGTGTGTGTGTGTGTGTGTGTGTGTGTGTGTGTGTGTGTGTGTGTGTGTGTGTGTGTGTGTGTGTGTGTGTGTGTGTGTGTGTGTGTGTGTGTGTGTGTGTGTGTGTGTGTGTGTGTGTGTGTGTGTGTGTGTGTGTGTGTGTGTGTGTGTGTGTGTGTGTGTGTGTGTGTGTGTGTGTGTGTGTGTGTGTGTGTGTGTGTGTGTGTGTGTGTGTGTGTGTGTGTGTGTGTGTGTGTGTGTGTGTGTGTGTGTGTGTGTGTGTGTGTGTGTGTGTGTGTGTGTGTGTGTGTGTGTGTGTGTGTGTGTGTGTGTGTGTGTGTGTGTGTGTGTGTGTGTGTGTGTGTGTGTGTGTGTGTGTGTGTGTGTGTGTGTGTGTGTGTGTGTGTGTGTGTGTGTGTGTGTGTGTGTGTGTGTGTGTGTGTGTGTGTGTGTGTGTGTGTGTGTGTGTGTGTGTGTGTGTGTGTGTGTGTGTGTGTGTGTGTGTGTGTGTGTGTGTGTGTGTGTGTGTGTGTGTGTGTGTGTGTGTGTGTGTGTGTGTGTGTGTGTGTGTGTGTGTGTGTGTGTGTGTGTGTGTGTGTGTGTGTGTGTGTGTGTGTGTGTGTGTGTGTGTGTGTGTGTGTGTGTGTGTGTGTGTGTGTGTGTGTGTGTGTGTGTGTGTGTGTGTGTGTGTGTGTGTGTGTGTGTGTGTGTGTGTGTGTGTGTGTGTGTGTGTGTGTGAGTTAGTCAAGACGCAGATTGTTTAGGAGTTCATTCAACACGATGACGAAAGCGGATATACAAAATTTTCTAATAGACAATTATTTGTATTTTAAAGACAGCTATAAGAAAGAAGAACTTCTTAAAATTTTAAGGACGAAAAAATTTAAAAAAGTATACGCTATAGATAGTATTGCTGAATACCAAGGGCATACTGTATTGAGATTTCCCCCATTTTTTTGTATTTTTAATAGGATATGAAACCACATACTTTAGTGGCGTTCATCAATTAAATTAAAATTTCTTCATTTTGCAGTATTGACGATTAATTTTAATTATTTTAATCTAGAACCGAGCGGCTGGCGATGCCGTATTGATGTAGAATTGACCAGTAAAAATATCAACAGAGAAAAATATCAGTGGCGTACTACTTTTTTTGTAGAAAATATCAGATGACATGTTTGCAGAGACGCCATTGGTAGAGCAATAAAATATGCCAAAATTGAAAATTATGTCTAAACTATTTTCAGAGGTATTAAAAAATATTTCTTAAAAAACAAATTTTTAACTCCCTGTAGCAAAAAATTGAAGCCGTTGCGGACATATGTTCATATAAAATTTTCTTCATAAAATAACCTGTGGAGTCATACCCTACAATATTAGCATACCATTAAAAAACACCCTGTATAAATTGTAAAAACAGGGAAGCAATTTTAAATTTTCAAATAGTAATTTTAAATTAGTTATCTTTGATCAGATAAAAATTTTATCAGAAACCAATTTTAGTCGAAATCTGCTGACTTTTAAAAATAAATGTTTTTTAATTGCTCACCCTGTATATATGTGATCGGAAGTATAACCGGTTTTGAGCCAAGAAGAAGCTTTACCTGCATACAAAATTTGAAGTTTTCCTTCTAAGCCGTTTTTGAGCTGTTGTGCCAACAGACAGACGGCAGACAACAAACGGCGGACAGATCGACAGAATGGGGAAAACATGTTTTTCGTAATCAAGTGACCCAAAAACGTAAAAATCTTAATGTTCACGATTATAATATCGAGGGAAGTAAAAATAAAATAAGTATACTCAATCTCTTGAATGCTTCTCTACTAATTTAAAGGTGATGTATCAGTCTTCTTAGTTTTTTTTTTTGTATGTTGCCGGCTGGCTTTAAAGCTTTAAAGTCACACTATATCTTTTGCTCGTACATTACATATATTTTATTTTTAACATGAAAGTATTAATTTCTGGATTTACATTTTACTGAAAGTATTTTTTATGTTCATTCATATTTTTTCCTTTCCCTTTTAACATTCTTGCAATATTTTATACCACACTGGGTATTATTTTCTTATTTATCTTCACATATTTATAATTTACATATATGATTTTAGATTTTACACTCATGTATTATCGTTTTCATTACTACACATATGTTTTCTTATAAACTGATATTTCGGCTCTATATGAATTTATATGCTACTTTACGAAAGCAATTTATGTACAACCATATAATTAGAACTTACACCTTTCATCATATTAACAATAGTCGTTCCAGATCTTAGTTTATCGTTTCCATTATAGCAACTAATCTTTGTTGGTTCTACCAGAGGTTCTGAAGCCTTTAATGCATTTGCAAACATTTTCACCGCGTCGTATGTTAAAGCTTCTGAAAGTCTTAGTCTGTAGCCCATGAAAATTTGAAAATTTTCAGATTCGTAAATATTTGTTGCTTTTTCTGTTAAGTTCACATTTTCAGGATCGAGGAAACGCATCTTTAAAAATAAAAAAAATATATATGTATAGTAAGTTAGGTGAAGAAATTTAAAGTCTTTGTAGTAAAGTTTTTAGATATTAAATGTTTAGTGTACATGTATCGGATACCGTAAACCGGGGTAACTTCGACATCCGGGTAAACTTCGACACCTACTATAATTTTGTTATAATTTTGCCTTCTTTTGTTTGTTTTTTTTTAATTTTATATAACTTTTCCCAGTTTATTAGGTTTTTCTTTCTTTTCAGATTATTTTGGTGAACAAATAGAATAAGTAGTAAGATGCCGCGTACGTATGTAAAGAAGGTAGCGGGAATGAGTTACCAAAATTATCGTCCAGAAAATATGGCCAAAGCTGTGGAAGCTGTGTGGATGTCCCAGTTGGCTGCGAGCAAAAAGTTCAAGGTCCCGAGGACAACTTTGTTAGAAAAAATCCACCAGAAACATCCCCTAAGACCAGGTCGTCCTACTGTGCTGACCCAAGACGAAGAGGTGTTGATTGCAAAATCTCTCCGGACAGTGAGCGACTGGAGCTTCCCAATGACGCAAGCAGATGTTCGACGTTATTTCAAAATTTGTCACTAAACAGGGCAGGGATATTCCAGAATGGAAGAATAATCAACCTGAAGACTTCGTGCATTGCTTTTCGGCAAGAAACAAGTTAAGCACTCGATTAGCAACCAATATTGAACGCCAGCGAGCTGCGGTCGGTGCACCACAAGTAACCGAATTTTTTAATAACATTAAAGATCAGTTAAAAAATGCTCTACCACAGAATGTCTTTAACTATGAGGAAACAAATATAACAGACGATCCCGGGGCCAAGAAGGTTTTAGTCCCCAGGGGAACTAAGCGAGTAGAAAGGGTTCAGGAACACTCGAGAACTTCGATAAGTGTGATGGTTTGGGCACAGCAAAAGGTGACTTGCTACCCACGATGGTTGTCTATGAAGCACAACATCTTTACGAAAACTGGACGACTAGGGGGCCTAAAGGGACAGTGTATGACTCAACATAAAGTGGGTGGTTTGATATGATGACCTTCGAAAAGTGGTTTTTTGAAATATTGCTTCCTTACAGTAAACAAAATAGCGCTAAAGAGGAATTAAAAATTGTAATAGGCGATAACCTTGCATCGCACTTTTCACCTCGCGTTGTAGAAGCTGCCTTAGACAATAATATCTACATGACTCCCCTCCCGGCGAACTCTACACACCTAATGCAACCGCTGGATGACAGCTTTTTTGCTCCAATGAAACGTAAGTGGAGAGAGGTTTTGGATGGCTGGAGAAAAGAATCGCGTCGAAAAGGATCTATCCCGAAGGAGCAATTGCCATCGCTGTTAAACCGGTTATGTGTACACATAAAGGAAAGTGCAGCAAAGAACCTGCAGTCCGAATTTAGATCAACAGGAATAAGTCCTTTTAACCCTGAAATCGTTTTAGCAAAACTTCCATCGACACAGTCAAATGCCGAAAGGTCTTTGGATGAAAGTTTACTGGAATTTCTGAAGGAACCTCGTGGTTACAAAGAAGAAACAGCAGTTCATAAAAGGGAAAAGGAAGTTCCCATAAGACCAGGTGAACAAATAAAAACGAAACCAGCTACTATGACCTCCAATTCTACAGATACAGAAGAACTTGATGTTTTACCAGGCGAAGCAGCTACCAAGGCACCTAGTCCTTCAGACACCGAAGAACGTAATGTGTTGTCACCAAAGTTGCCTAAAAAAACCGTTGCCAACAAAGTCAATTCCAAAAAGAAAAAATCGACATTAATCCGAACGTAAAAACCACAGAGCCAGTAGCCTCAACGTCGCGTGCCCTGACAGGCAAAAATATTGGCAGCAATATCAACAGCAATACTGACGACTCTTGCTGCTCAAGATGCAACTGTAGTTATAAAAATTACACTGGCAGAAATAATTGGATCTGTTGCGTCTCCTGCTTGAAGTGGGTCTGTGGCACTTGTTATCATGGTTCGAATGACCCCCAATATAATATAATAATCGAAAGGCTTGGATTAAGTGCGTAACGTGCAACAAATGGGTTTGTGGACATTGTAGTAATGGTTCAAACCGAACGAATTACGAATGTCCTGTTCGCGAGGTTGACGACTGACTATAGTATTATTATAGTTTTTGTTTTGTTGTTTTATTCTTCTGTTTGTTTACTTTGTTTACATTGTTTGCTTTGTTTGTTTACTTTTTGACAATGTTCTTTTTAGTTTTACTTTTTAGAGAATGTGATTTGTTTTTTTTAGCCAAATGTGCCCTAAAACCAAAGGGTTTTAGTTTATTGCAATCGTTTGTATCAAATCAAATCAAATCAAATTTATTTGTTTAAATATTAAAGTACATTACCTAATAGTAAAAAAATAGTTATACAGAAAAAAAAATTCTTTAAAGACATCTGATTGAGCATCGAACCTAGGCATTTCTGCCTGTTTTGCTTCTGATCAATCAGATGACTCTATTTATGTACATATTTTTTTTTAGAGACAGGTATTAAATTTTACATATAATTATTTATTACTTAACAAAAGATACACTATTTAAAAATTAGAACAAGGGACGAAGAAATTCGACAGAATAAACCGATTAATAAAAAGATAAATAAACAAGAGACAGTACCTTAGGAAAAGTAGACAAAAACTACGATGGTCCTTTTGGCTTTTAATATGTTTTTTATTTATAATATGTTATCATTAGATCGTAAATTTTTTTTTTGTTTGTTATTAAATATTTTTTTATTTCAATTTTAAACTTTTTTGTTTTGATTATTTGCCTGAGGTGTATCGGAATTATGTTAAAAAATTTTGGGCCAAAGAATGATAATGACCTTTGACTAAGTGATTTTTTGAAAAATTGTACAGGAATCTCCATATTAGCGACTGAGCGTGTTAAGCGGGTATTTTTTTGAGTAAAATTTTCAGCATTGGTATATATTCTCATTATACATTGATAAGCAAAGAGTAATTTGACGTTTAGTATGTTCGATTCATCGTACAATTTATTTGTAGAAAATAGTCTCTCTTTTTTTAGGATAATTTTTAAAATAATATTTTGTGTTGTCTCTACAATTTTAATAGTGGTGTTAAATGCTCCACCCCATGCTACTATGCAATACCTTAATATAGATTCCACTAGGGAGTTATAAAGTATCATTATATTTTTCTTTGAAAGAATGTCCCGGAGAACATAAAATTTGTGCATTAGGGCTCTCAGTCTATTACTAACATGGACAATATGCTCAGACTACCGTATGTATTGATCAAGCATTACACCTAGGTATTTAATTTGAGAAACTTTTTCTATCAAGGGGCAGTTACAATCGCTTTTTTGACAGTCACTACTATGCAATTTTATACAAAAGCTGTTAGGTTGATTAACGATGGTTGAACTAAAAGTAATGCATTTTGTTTTCAATACATTTAAAGTTAGTAGATTGTTATTTAACCATAAACTTATCTTTCTTAGGGCCGTTTCTCCAGCGAGTTTAACCTCTTCCCATTCTTTTCCAGCGAAAATAATTACCGTATCATCCGCATAGCATATGATATTCCCAGATAAGTTATTAATTTGTGTAATGTTGTTCATATAAACCAGAAACAGAATTGGGCCCAATACTGTTCCTTGAGGGACCCCCATCTTTACTACTGATTTAGAACTTCCGGTGTTGCCAATTTTTACGCTCTGGGTTCTATTAGATCAATAATCCCTCAGGAGCCTTAATGCTAAACCCCGTATGCCATAGTTATTTAGTTTATCAAGTAAAATGTTATGGGAAACGGTATCAAATGCTTTGGCCAAATCAAGAAATACTGCAGCACATTTTAATGATTCATCTACAGCGTTAACCGTCTTTTCCAAAAAATCAACTACCGCATTTTCAGTGCTTGAGTTTTGTATAAAACCGTATTGACAATCTGTAATAACATTATGATTATGAAAAAAATTAATTAATCTACTTTTTACTGCATTTTCAAAAATTTTAGCGAAGTTGTTGATAACAGAAATTGGCCTATAATTTGTAAGCTCACTAGGGTCTCCGGATTTGTATACAGGTGTGACAATTGATTCCTTCCATTGACTTGGAATTTTTCCTGATTGAAAGCAAATATTAAGGATATGCGTTACAGGAAGAATAATATATTCATTTATATTTTTTATTGTAGTTGCTGTTAATTTATCTGGACCAGGTGCAGAGCTATTTTTTAATTTGCTTATTAAAATAGTTACTTCATTTTTTGTTACGTGTTTAAAGAATATGTTGTTTTCAACTTTATCATTTTTAAGAAAGTTTACTGCTGGTACTACCTTATGTATTTTATTTGCCATATTTTCACCTAAATTTGTAAAAAAAATATTAAACTCTTCGGCTTTTTCTTTGTTATTGTTTATATTATCATTATTTTCTGATTTTATAGATATGTTTTCAATTTGCTTAGTTTTTTTGTACTACCTGTTATGTCATTAATGATTTTCCATATTTTTTTATAATCGTTTCCGGCTTGTGTAATTTTATTTTGATAATAGTCATTTTTTGTTTTTCTTATTAAGGAATGAAGTTTGTTTCTGTAATTTTTATACTGGTTTTCAAGTTCTAGAGTGTATTTTTTTGTTAGTTTTTTTTTTTAGAAAGTCTCTATTTTTTATTGAAAGTATTAAACCTGTTGTTATCCATGGTTTCAGTTTAATTATATTTTTTGTTTTAATTGTAGATTTGGTGCATTTTTGATTTTGTTGATTTAGCTTATTGAAAAATAAATCGTATGCTTTTTGTGGTTCAGCCGTATTAATTACATCATTCCAATTTTCTCTGCTTAAACAATGTTTTAGATTATCAAAATTTATTATGGTCACTTTGTTTATTGATTGGGGTTCCTCATTTTTTTGTGTAGGAAAAGATATTAGTATAAAAAGAAGAATAGTGATCTGTCATATTTGTTTACTTTGTCTGCGTTGTTTACTTTGTTTTTTTTTTGAGAATGTACATTTTAGTTTTACTTTTTAGAATATGTGATTGTTTTTTTTTAACCATATGTGCCTTAGAACTAAAGATTTTTATTGTTTTTATTTTAATACAATCGTTTTGTAACATGTGGCCTTTTATTTGTTTATTTATTTGATACTTCTGACCTTTAAATTGTGGTAAAACTATGTAAAATTAAACTGATTTTACTTTTTTTGGTGTCGACGTTACCCAGGAGCTTTCCTAGTTCGACAATTCGCTAAAATACATAGATTGTCGAAATTACCCCATGTACGGGGTAACTTCGACACTAAAAAGAGGCAAAAAAGGGGGTGAAGGGGGTGGGGGGTAAAACTGATTTTTTCATGGTTGACAGTCAGGACATCAACTGCTACAATGGCATAAGAATCAATGGTTTTCAGTTGACACATTTTGGTGGGCGAGGCTCAATATATCAAAAACCTGTCGAAGTTCCCCCAGTTTACGGTACTTGTCGGAAATTAGCTAGACTAGTTAAAACGCATTAAAAAACGAATTTTTTGTTTTTCGAGAAATTGTAAAAAGTAGCCCAAGCAGTTTGTAAATGATGCGATTCAATTGCATAATAATAAATGACACTCACTGATGACAGCTTCTGATAACTTCTCTAACATTGTATTGTATAAAGGAAACTTAATATCTATATGGATTTTTATTTACTTACCCCAGTAATGTTCGTTTCACTGTACTGGTAAGGCATTAGTTCAATTGTGTGCAAATCCAGATTAGTGATAATGAAGTTATGTTTGCTGGTCATCAGTCCTACTTGTTGCGCTTGTCTTAGCACGTCTTCGAGTATCTCAATGCTACAATCTAGCAAGAAATGAGTGGCACCAGACCGCCACACTTCCTTTAGAACGGGTCTAAAAAAATATTGTACCTAATATTGCATTTACTACAGCCATTTATTTATGTTCAATAATTAATTTGATTTAACGGTTATTATTTCATATTCACTTTAGTAAGGACAACTATATTTAAAAATTTTAGGAATAGTCGAACTATTTTTTATTTATTCAGGTAAAATTAAAATGTAAATTAGTGATTCCAGTGAAAAATCAATAATTATCAATCTACAATATATTCGTGTAATAAGGTAGGCCGCAGACCTAAGGTACAATCGTTTCGCCACAAATGCGTTTCCACTTTTATCGTTCAACATTTAAAAAAACTCCCACAAATGTGGTACGAGCACGCACACCAGGATTAGTTGTAACGCATTTGTACCATGTCGTCGTCTTCCGATGATGATGATTTTATGATGTGGCAACTATTAAATCTGCTGAAGAACGTTTATTGATTATATTAATGTAGGGACGAATATAAAAAATTAAAAAAACATTTAACCTTAACATTGCAAATATAAAGACTGAAGGTGCAAGATTTTGTAGGTGAGTGGTTTGCTGCGAATGGGTATTTGGATATGTGGGATATGCATCAGGTGTAAGATCTTGTAGGTGAGTGGTTTGCTGCGAATGGGTACGTAAATAGGATGGCTGTCCAGGTGTAAGATCTTGTAGGGTAGTGGTTTGCTGTTCTTTGTATCTTACATCAAATGAAGTGTAATACGATCCACCAGTCACTTTTGAAAGGTCTTGTTGGCCAGAATCTGATTGCACTGGATATTTGATGTTTTCGATAAGCTGCAAAATGCCTTTTTGAAATGATAACTGTTGCCGTGGGGTCATTGATTCCATTTGGGGCACGAGACTTAGAAGAAACATTTCACAAGAATTTGGTTTTTGCTGTTGTGAAGAAGTTACTCTGTCTGCTTTTTTCTTATTTAAAGTAAAATAATCCATTGCGCAGTTATCTGCAGCACTAAGTCCTTTCGTATTGTATGAACTTGTTTTTACCCGTTTGCCGTTTAGTTTACTACGAAGAGTTGGGCTCTCTCTTAGACTGCTCATATCTGTTTGTTGATCGGTTATATCAGTAGTAGAGGAACTTGCGCGGGGTGTATCTGGTGGAAAAGAGTATTGACTTTCGCCCAAATCATCAAAATCCGCCGATATTTGTCTCTCTGGATTCACTATCTGTGGAATCAGCTTCATGAGTCTCGGTTTCTTCATTGGCCATATGCGATTCTTCATTCAGATTTTCGGGTTCTTTAGTAAATGGTTTCGATTGTAGATTTCCTTCTTGGGGGTAATTCATTCTGAATGCATTCAGAAATTGCAGGTATTTTGCTAGGTAATATGGTTTTTTTTGAACCGGCACTAGATCCACTTTTACATTTAGCTGCGAATGTATAACGAATGTATTTCTTTCCATTTGCTTTTGCAGCTTTCCCCTGTAAATTAAAAAAATATGCTTATAATAATACAGGTAAATAAAAAACAGAAAATTATATTGACTGGCTTCAATATACTTTTTTTTAAAAGGGATTTATTTAAAGACTGTCATAGTATTTATTGTGCAATTCTCAAAATCAGTGCGCTCTTTTGTACCAGCGCCAACGTAATCAGATATTACCAGACTTACTGATAATAACCCGGTTTCTAATAATAACCTAACCGAGTTAATATCGGTAAGTTTAATAATGTCTAATTAAAATTGCAAGTTAATAGCTCGTTGGCTACCACATATGTCTAATATTTATTTCTTTTTCCCTAGGTTCCTGTCCACTGGCTCATCATTTCGAGCCATGTCGTACGTTTTTATAAGAGGTGAAACAAGAATAGGCCAAATCATTCACGAAGGCTGTGACGTTATATGGCAAGTTGTGCAACCGCTTTATATGAAAAAACCAAGAACAAGTGACTGGTTAAAAATTTCTGACAAATTTCTGGAATTTTGGAATTTACCACAATATATTGGTGCAATAGATGGAAAGCACATTCGCATTAAGAAATCGACAAACTCCAGATCTGCATACTTCATCTATAAAGAATATTTTTCCATTAATCTCATGGCATGTGCAGATGCAAATGGCTTATTTACAAGTATTGATGTCGGGGATTATGGAAGAAATAATGATTCTGGAGTATTTAGAAATTCAAGCCTTGGACGAGCACTTTCAACCAATACTCTGAATATTCCCACGCCGTCACCATTGCCAGGAGAAGAATTAGGCCCTTCATTTCCATACTTTTTCGCAGCAGATGAGGGATTTCCCTTATGTGAAAATATTATTAGGCCTTATAATCAAAGAAATTTGACTAACACACGAAGAATATTCAATTATCGATTATCTCGGGGTTGGAAAATTGTAGAATGCACTTTTGGCATGCTTGTCTCAAAGTTTCGTGTGTTTGAGACCCCTCTTTCATGCTCAGTGGCCAAAAGTATAAAAAATTTTAAAGCTGCTTGCGTTTTACACAATTTTATTAAAATACAGGAGAAAGAGCATTTAAATTTCTCTGCAGAAAATGCATCGACTGAAAATATTTTAAATCTCAGAAATAATTTAAGTCAAAATCAAGGAAGGCCTAGCAACCAAGCCGTCCAAAATAGAGATTATTTGGCTGATTATTTAGTAAAACGTTATGGCTCAGTACCTTGGCAAGATAACTATACAGTTTAATAAATTTTTGGTATTATACTGTAATTGTAAAATTATAAATGCGTTTGAGAAAATTTAGTGAAAAAAAAAGTTGATTAAATTTAGTTTTTCCAGGATTTTAATATCCAACGGTTAGAACTATAAACTATCCTATTAAATCAAAAAATTGTTGTTTTTACTTACCAGTTTCATTAAACTTTTTCCCAATTTTTGTCCAGTTCAATTCTGTTGTCCTTCTGTTACTATACTCTGCTAAATTGTGGTCATATAATTGAGGATATTTCTCAATTTCTTGAATAAATGATATAGTTTCATTAATATCATCCTTCATTTTAAATTTTTGAAAAGCAACACGTCGCAACAAATATCGAACAACTTGGTTCTACGGCTTCGAAGCGCAAATGCTGAGTGAATTCAAATGCGTCCTGTCAACAAATGCATCTCAAGTATGCGGATGTTAATTTAAATACACAGAAGCGTTAAATGCTGTCCGATACATTTCTGACAACGCATTTGTGGCGCAACATTTGTACCTTAGGTCTGCGGCCTGCTTAAGACGTTTATATCAAGGGTCGCTATGAAAGTCAAATATTGTCCACTCTATATAGTAGGGGAAGATGGGGCTGAAAGTTCCGGGGGTTGGTTGTTCCGATGAGTATACGTGCGAGCAGAAAAGAGATAGCGATACGTTTGAAGTACGGTACAAGTTGCCGAGTGATCGCGCACTCTCGGCTGTCCTTTAAGTTGCATTCAAGGTGGCGGTGTGTTAGGTGTGTGAATAGAGATCGTCGACTGACACGTAAGTAAATATATTTGTGATTAAACTTTTGGGTCTATTTCGATCAATTTTGAAGATAATGATTTGCAACTTGAACTAAATTGATGTAAAAATATTCAGGAATCTTATGTCATTATCGTTATTAGACTTATTTCGACTATTGAAAATAAATTTGAATGATATTCGAAAATGGAATGTGGGGTTGGTAGTTCCTTTACTTTGGGGCTAGTTGTGCCTCGGAACAACTTACCCCGATAAATAAATTATATGCAATTTTTTCAATTTCAGGATGCGTACGTATAAGAGAAAAACTGAACGAGGTAAAACTTCTGAGGAACTCCTACGCAGAGCAGCTGATGCTCTTATTAAAGATGGTAAAAAAATCAAAACAGTTGCAAGAGAAGTCGAAATCTGCCACATGACATTATTTCGATTTATCAAAAAGTTGAGAGCCGGTGAGGTGCCTTCAGTGGGTTACAAACCTAGACTGGTGTTTACTCGGGAGCATGAACAGATAATGGCAGATTATCTTCTAAAATGTGCCTCAATCTACTTCGGTCTCTTGCCAGACGAAGTGCGAAAGTTAGCTTACGATTGTGCCATAAAATTTAGCATGCCACATATTCCAGCCCCATAGCATAAAAACCATAAAGCAGGAGCTGATTGGTTCACCGGTTTCTTGAAAAGGAACCCATCACTGGCTATAAGAACTCCCGAAGCAACAAGTGCAGGCCGTGCATCTTCGTTCAATAGGAACAATGTGAACGAGTTTTTTACGAAACTTGGTGACATTCTTCTCAGATATAGTTTACCCCCCTCTAGAATTTGGAACTTAGATGAGACAGGGGTAACGACGGTGTTGAAGCCCAAAAAAATTGTAGCCCAGAAAGGTATGAAGCAAGTGGGTGCTATTGTTTCTGCAGAGCGCGGTACCTTGGTTACCGTCGAATTAGCAGCCAATGCAGCGGGTAACACGATACCGCCGATGTTTATTTTTCCGCGGTTGAAATACAAAGAACTATTTCTACGTGATGGTCCTCCTGAGTCAATTGGGGCAGGAAATAGCTCAGGGTGGATGACTGCTACTGAATTTCTTCTTTATATGGATCACTTCATAAAATATACCAAACCAACCCCAGAGGAACCCGTGTTGTTGCTGTTGGATAACCATCAATCTCATATCGACATTGGTGTGGTCGAAAAAGCAAAAGCTAGTTCAGTTATCATGTTATCATTTCCTCCACATTGTACACATCGTCTTCAGCCACTTGATGTTGGTGTAAATGGGCCGTTGAAGACATACTGTGCCAAAGCTCAAGACAACTGGCTTCGGAACAATCCAGGAAAGACGATGTCTATATATAAATTACCAGGAATTCTGAAATATGCTTGGCCTTTAGCAGCAACTCCTACCAATATCATAAACTCATTTAAGAAGGCAGGAGTATGCCCCTTCGACCCTAACATATTCACGGACGAAGACTTCGCCCCATCTTTTGTGACGGATAGGCCAATGCCTAATGCTGACTTTCATCAGGAAACAGAGCTGAATGATCAGCCTGGGCCCTCTAATATTGAAA